CAGAAACGTCGGGAATTAAAAATAAAAGTAATTAAAAGCAAAAATAAACGCGATAAAATCCGTAAAAGTAGTTTTAATCATACTATACCCAAACTTAAATAGCTTTAATATGTCGGGAGACAAACCCACCTGTAGTAAAGCCTTTTCCTACCCGTGGGAAAAGGCACTACAGGTGGGTTTGCCTGGCCGATAATGCTTTGTCGATTATATATACTGTATCATAATCGACAAGGTGTAGGAAACAAGCATACACATGCTTAAGGCTCAGTAAATCATTTTCGGTTGATAGCCCTCGTTCGAAAGCGAATTAAAATCTTGTTTCACTAAATGATTATCCAACTGAGAGTTAAACACATCGTCAAACACTTTTGCCACTATCGTCACTAACGAGATAGATATAATTAGACCCAGCTGATACGTCACCCATCTTATTTTTGACAATGGGAACGATAACCGTCTTCAATTATTCATGCGGGAGATATTTACGCGCCAGACAAATATTAAAACATATATCTATCTCACTTACACAAGTTGCGAAAACAATACCGTCGCTAAGATTAGATAAAGATACCAAGAGCATCGGAAAATTGTTTGTTGTATTGTCGATCATTAGGGTATTCCTATATGATTTTATTTTTTATAGCGGACTAGCTGCAGAAAAGATTTATTTTAAAAAAAGTATAAGATTTTGAGGTTATAATAGAACTACTAATAATATGGTTTTTATTTTTTAAAAAATGGTTTTTATTTCTTAAAAATTATATATTATGATTTTTAAGAAACTGACAAAAACCATATCCTGAAACTTTTAACAATTTTTAGTACCATCTTCCAAACAAAACCACCAGCAGAGCCGCAATTTACACAAAATAAACTTTCCACCGCATATGCATAACAAAGAGAATTTATAATCACTACGTTTAAGAGGCGGAACTTAGTAAAAGTAAATAAAAGTAGGTATGAAAGAGCGCCAAACTACTCTACCAACATCAAGGCATTACATTTATTTTTTGAATAACAGTGCTGACAACATAGGTGAATTATACTATTGCTGAATGTCTATCCTCAAGTTATTTTATCGATTTAATTTTTATTATCGTAATTTTCATATAGTAAAAGTTAGATCTCGATACAAATTATATAAGAAATGAAAGTTTTGAGAAATGAAAGGATTGAGTAAAAATGCCGAAGAGGATAAGTGTATGTAATAATTTTTAATTCCTATTAATGTAAGTAATAACCCTTCCAATCGATGCAAATTTGCCAACTCAGTGACGGTATATTGATAGTCTTCCAGAGGAAATTAGCTGCACGGGAGACAACAAATTCTTCAAAGGTATTTTGTACTGCCTCTCGGGTATTGAATTTTTTACCAAAATTTTATCCAAATTCTAGTCTCTCGCCAAGGCTGTCCAAGGACATTTCTGTCAGTCATCTCTTCCATCTCTGCACAGAGAGGACGACTCACTGGCCCATGCGGTGAAAGGAGAAAGCCGATCTGTTAAGGTCTCTCATTGCATCCAACTCGACTCTAGATGACGGGGGGAACACACCGCAAACCATCCCGAAGTGTGAGTGCTCCATGCCTGATGTGCGGTTTGCAAAGTGCTCGGTTCGCAAAGCACTCCTCTCCCTAGACGTCAGCAAGTCGAGTGCGCCTGATTGAGTCCCTCCCATTGTGCTGAAGACGTGTGCTCCGGAGTTGGCACCGGTTTTAACGCGGCTTTAGCGGTACTCCTACTCTCAGGGCGTAGTGTCCCGAATTCATGGAAGACATCTTTGGTCCACCCGATCCCTAAAAAAAGACGACCGCTCAGACCCGTCCAACTACAGGCCTATCTTCATCACCTCCTTGTTCTCCAAAATAATGGATTCCGTTATAAGCTGCTAGCTCTTCTCTGTGGAATCGTTTAAAACCGGCGATTTTTCCGCATCGATATGACTTAGGGACTTGACCTGGTGTTGCGGTTATTCACGAGTGGCGGTATTCACTTACCATCAGGTAAGCCGCGTACTGGTTTGCCCCCTTTTTTATAAAAAATATGGTCTTTTTTGAGTTATCTTTTATAATGGTTATTTAATTGACTTCGACTATATTGATGATCCCATTTTAGTAACATTGAAGGAATATTAAAATAACTACTTGTTATATAGCCAATTTGATGCAAATAGATTAATATTGTTATGATGCTAACATCGAAATTTGCTTCTAATTTAGCCGTAGATTGAGTATTATCAGCTTCCACATTTGCCTTTAATTCGTCACCCGCCTCCTCTGTCACCACGAACACGTGGTTCATTTTTCATTTCAACATTTTCAAAAAGGAAGCAGGCAAACCAATTACAGGTTTATTATAACGGGCAAACAAATGAAGGTGCATTCGTTTACAGTATTCGCTCCGTTAACGTCGTTGATGTTGTGCCGCTTTTGCCACGTTGATGCCATGACGGTACTCGTATTCCATAATTACTCAAATTTTTAACGTTTACATGTTGACGAAAATGATTAAATTGCAATAAAAACATAACTAAACAAATGACTGATTTTGAAAAAAAATTGGGTGACCCTGCAGGCCTGGAAATTCCCGCTAACTTCAAATGCAAAGTGCTCCAAATTTCACCAAATTATGTTACGAAATGTCGAAATTATGTTAAAAAAATGTTTAATTTTTAAATTCTTTCTCTTTCGATATCTCACGACCGAATGAAACGATTTTTATTTTCCTAATGGCATTCGACGTCATTTTTTGACGTTGAGAGCTGTCTAGATTTAAAATCGATCGGTAAAGCCGTTTAGAAGTAATTCCATAAAAACAGTTTTTAAATTTTTTTATATTTGAGATTTCTCAAAATCATACACACACGCGCGCACGCGCACGTACGCACGCACGCACGCAAGCATGCACGCAAGCACGCACGCAAGCATGCAAGCACGCACGCATGCATTTTATATCAGAATTCTTAGGCAAACAAAAATTATTCCGGTTTGAAATGGCCAGTACTGCATAACGGCCATTTCATAGGTAAAAAATACTGTAAAACAAAGTTACATCCTATATACTTTCTACTGCTACGTACAGCAGTGTTTTTTGAGAGGGTTTTAGGACAAGAAAGTGTCGACCGCGCTGTCCCAATGCGTGTTGGCGAACTTCACATGTCTTCGAAATATTTTTTCCTTATTCCTCAGGTATGCAGGTTTCCTCACGATGTTTTCCTTCGCCGCCGAGCACGTGGTAAAACAGCACTTAGAGTTGCAATTAACAATTTAATTGGTAACGGCGGGGAGCGAACCCAAGTTACTCGCGTATTGTAATATTTACAGCGAGCGTTAACCATCTGAGCTACCACGGCTCATAGGTAAAGACCTATTATTATTGAATTCAGGTAGGTAATTAATTGAAAAAGAATTAGAAAACACTTTTAGACGTGAATTAAAATTAGAATGATTGGAGCTTATTTTCGTAACGTCAAGTGCGACGCGACGGGAATAATGATAAGGCAAAAAGTAACGACACAGTTGCAGACGTAAGCTCAGTAAATTAAATTTCGAGTTTGCTTTTCTCTTATTACTTAGCGTCCCGTAAAATAAATTGTGTTCCTTTTTAAGGATGTTTTGAATTTTAAGGAACTTATAAAACGATAATTAATTTTGTTTAATCCTTCATAAATTCAAATTTTCGAAGCAAATAGTTGTGTAGTGGCTATGTGTAAATGTTTATATTAAGAGCCTAGATAAATCAAATAAATTTAATATATTCACATACAATTTATTTTATTACAATACAGAACACAATTATTAAATATCAAAAGGGGAATTAATAGAATGATAGCAAATTTATGAAATATAATAATGCACAAAGTCCGTAATATATAGTCAGTAATCAAAAAGAAACTTGTAAAATAAACAGTCTTATCATCATAGGCACAAGGATGAAATTAGTGTGAAAAATGTTTGTTTGTATAAATAAATAGATACACCACAGTAGTTTTATCTAAGATTCATCATCATCATTATTATAGTCATTTACTAGTCTACTGATGAATATATGCCTTCTCATGGAATGACAGAAAGACCGTCCCGAGCCACCTGCATCCTCCGACTTACTGCATGTTCTACCAGGTCATCATTCAGGTCGTCAAATAATCTACTTACCGGTAAGGTACAGCCACCTTAAGAATCCTTCTTCTCTTTCGATTGTTAGTCTGTCAATCTACTAGTGTAACTAAATATATGGCTGGTCCATTACTACTTCAGCTTACTCATACTATCGAGATATCGCAGAGCCTATTTTTGCTGATGATGAGAGTAGAATTTAGACGTGAAAAAGGTGTCGTATTTTTGCTCATGACGTGTCTTTCTTAGTGTAGTATTGTCTTTAACCGTAGTTTAAATCCAAGATTTTTATCCATATAATATGTGTCTTTTTCTTTAAATAAACGTTAACCCTACACTAAGATTTTCTCCAGTATCGTGGGGGCAGTTAACAAACATAAATTTTACAAGGACAAACATCTGGACCGGAACAATTATTTGTAGGCCATACAAATACTTAACCCTTAATTTCATGGTGATGGAAATTTCCATCGTTAAGAATTTTTGTCTTTATTTTTAGTTTGTGATCCGAATGAATTTATTTACGGACATGTACGAGTATATGAACATCGATGTTTAGGCAACATTTTTGAATGAAACAAAGAACTGTCAATGTCAACTGTCATGGTCAATCATCTGTTCAAGTGAAACGATAACTACTTGTGGTTTGTGGTGTTTCTGATTGTTAGTTTGTGAACTTATACGGACAAGTAATTATTGAAAAAATTATTATTTCATAAAATAAGGTAAGTTTTCAATACCTAAGCAATTTGTTTTAGAAAAATCATAGTTTTTAGATGTATTCTGGGTCTTTTTGTTTATGATGGAAATTTCCATCAATATGCATTAGTCGTAGTTCTCGATGTATGGCAGTTTATAATAATTTTTATGTAATATTTCAGCAAAAATGTCTTTTCCAAGATCAAGAATAATCAATGATAGAGACATTGAAGAGTACTTGTCTGCTCTGGAAGGAGGATATCTGTCAGAAGATGGCATGGAAATGTCTGATACGGAAGATAATGAGGAAAGTATCTTTTACACCAACAGAAATGAACCACTGCAAGACGTAGAGGATGATGATAATCTGGAAAATGAACCTACTTTACATGAAGAACAAGTTGATGTGCATGATCCCCCTCTGATTCTAGAAACTGTGGCATCTAAAGCAGGAGAAAACTCTGCTTGTTCGACTTGGGTGTTAGACAAGAGGAAGCTGATTTGGAAGAAGAGTACACTTCAGTTTTCTGAGTCAAATATTGAATTTGAAGGAAGCACTGATGTAGGTACTGAAATAACAGCCCTAAAAACACCATATCAATGCTTTAACTACTTTTTTACACATGAACTTTGTTACAAAATAATATCAGAAACTAATCTATATGCCACCCAATTAAATCGTGAAAATAGATTTAATTTGTCTCATTATGACCTAAAAAAGTTTTTAGGCATTCTGCTTTACATGTCTGTTCAGCATTTCCCCAGCACACGCAAATACTGGTCAAGGCGTTTTGGATTTGAACCTATAAAGCAAACTATGAATGTGAATACATTTGAAAAGATCAAAAAATATATCCATTTCAATGATAATGACAAATATATACTAGTTAACCAACCAGGACATGACCGCTTACATAAGGTGAGACCAATTATTGATAGTCTAAATCAAACCTTTTCCAGTGTGAAAAAACATCAGACTATCAATTGATGAACAAACGTGTGCCACCAAAGTGGGACATTATCTAAAACAATATCTACCAAATAAGCCCCATAAGTGGGGATTTAAGTTGTATGTTTTGTGTAGTGTTTTTGGATTTGCCTACAAATTTGAAATTTATTCTGGCCAAGACATTTCTACAAGACCTGAAGGTGAGCCTGACTTAGGTTCTACAAATAATATTGTGCTTCGCTTAACCAGAGATGTTCCACGAATGGTCAACCATATTATCTTCTTTGATAATTTCTATACATCTGCGCCATTAGTTATCTATTTGGCTAAGCAAGGAATACATTGCCCTGGCACAATTCAACAAAACAGAATTCCTAATAACAAACTACCAGACAAAAAAGAGATGATGAAAAAAAATACCCCTAGGGGTACTTATGAAGAAAGAACAGCATCATATGACGGAATTGATTTAGCTTGCATAGCATGGAAGGACAATAAAATAGTGACTATGTTATCAAGTTACGTAGGAGCAGAGCCTGTTTCAACCGTCAAAAGGTTTGATAAAAAAGACGAGGGAAAGAGTTGATATATTGTGTCCAAAGTCCATTACAGAATATAACAGTCATATGGGGGGTGTTGACTTGTTAGATAGTTTCTTGGGTAGATATCACATAAGAGTAAAATCTCGCAAATGGTATATTCGTATATTTTTCCATTTGTTTGATCTGGCTGTTATCAACTCCTGGATTATATATAAAAATAATGCAAAAAAAAGAAAATGTTGCAAAAAAAGAACATTTTAAACTTAGGTGAGTTCATAAATGAGCTGGCCTATGTTTTATGTAACTCAGGCACAAATGAAAATAAAAGAGGTCGGCCTAGCTCTTCCAGCCTGGAGCAGGAGTTGCAAGCTAAGAAGAAGAGGTTACAATCAAAACCAATCCCTCCATTGGATATACGGATGGATGGTCTAGGGCACTGGCCAGATGATGGTGTGTCGCTTCGTTGTAAGTATCCACATTGTACAGGATACACCACCATAAGCTGTGCCAAATGTGGCATAAATTTATGCCTAAACAAAAATAATAACTGTTTTACTAAGTTCCACACTACCTAATATCAAATATGGCAATTACCTATATGTATATTAACTCTAAGTGCATAGTGATGGAAAAATCCATCGCATGATTTATAATATATTATATGAAAAAAAAATTACTACAACTATTTTAACATTTTTTATATAATAAAGAAACTTTTTCTGAATTGTGCATAATTTTTTTTATTTTTAAATCGATAATCATAAATATTCTATGCATTTAAGGGTTAATCCGTGCGGGATTCGAACCCGCGATCCTTTAGCACAGCCTCTCAATGCTAAGCCACTGCGCCACGGAGCCGTCCACTTCCTATTACAAATATTGCTGTTGGATATTTCTCTGTCACCATGATATTGTGGTAAAACAAAAAAAAAAATGTCATAGCGAAGGCATAGAAAAATTAAATTAATTTTTTTATAATCTAAATTAAAAATAGGTAATAATAATGTCCTCCATACTGAATAATGTCCTCCACACTGAATAATGTCCTCCACACTGAATAATGTCCTCCACACTGAATAATGTCCTCCACACTGAATAATGTCCTCCACACTGAATTTCAATTACGGCGATTAACCTCAAGGAAACAGAAACAGAAACAGAAACTTTTTTATTCAATGTAGATTATAACAAATACTTATTGAAAGTCACTTTTTTCATTTACCACTGGTTCGCAAAAAAAACCTCTGTCCTGGGAAGAACCAGCAAGAAACCCAGCGGGACTATTTTTTTCCAATAATAGCTTACAATCATGTTTACAATTAGCAACACAAGACAAATTAGAAATAGCTTGGTAGCGATCACCCTTCCCAGGGGTTGTTATCATCCATAAATTCCATAATATTATTATAAACCTTTTTATACAAACTTAGTTTAATAGCATTTTTGAACTTTCTGTATGACAAATTTTGTATTGACAAATGTTATAAAAGCGTATACATCGCCCCAAGAATGAATTACTGACTCGGTGGAGTCGAGTAACTGGTACTACTAGCTTGTGTCTGTTCCTAGTATTTACAGAATGAATATCACTTATTTTCGCAAAACTACTTTTATTTTTGTATACGTCCATTACATTTTCATAAATGTATTGAGAGGCCAGAGTTAATATATTAATTTCCTTAAATTTTTGTCACTCAGTGACTCTTTTGATTTTAAAATATATGTTGCTCTAATGGCCCTCTTCTGTAAAATAAATATAATTTCAGTGTCAGTCGCGTGTCCCCATAGCAAAATACCATACGACATAATGCTATGGAAATAACTAAAGTAAACTATTCTAGCTGTTTCAACATTGGTAAGAGTTCTAATCTTTTTACAGCATATGCTGCAGAACTAAGTCTGCTAGCTAGTTTTGATATATGGGGGAGCCATTAAAGCTTTGCGTACATTCCAAGAAAAATGGTGGTATCAACAAGACTCAGTTCCTCCGCAAGACTAGCTAACTCTGCGCAGGACACAATTATAATGCTATAATGTATGCGCAAGCACAGGTGCGCTTTCTGTTTCCTCACTCACATAGCCCGATAGGATGGTGTACCGACAGGACCGGACAAATATTTTTGTCCTCACGTGATTTCAGATACACGAGGGTGATACACCGCCAACTTTCTGACTTTGGGCAGCTATTGCGCATTTCTTGACAGAAAATCTCAATAATTGTTTTTTTGTTGCCAGACACGGTATTTGAATACGTGACCTCAAGATTAGCAGTCGCGTTTGTGATCACTAGATCAACGAGATAGTCAAACTAATC